GCACAATCGCAATTTTTATTTTTTCTTGGATAAGCTTGGGGTTTTTCTAAGCATCTCAGGATGCGTCGTAGATGGTCCGATTTCAATTTTCCAAACGGATTTAAAAAATAAAAATGCAACAAAACATACATTTTCATTTTGCGCTAAGATGCTGCGAAATAGGTCGGGAATGCTTGCAAACATCACTGAAAGCGTCCGAGCGCGCGAAAGGGGTCGAGTAGTGGGAAGAACGAAAGCTAAGGAGACGTGTGCATATTTTGCACTATTTTTTCCTAGTTATCTAAGTATAAAACAGCATACTTCTTGACATTGGGAATTGCACATTAGTTAGATTAATGTATTTGTTTATTGAAATTATGTAAACGTCTGATTATTTGTATTTCGATAAAACTGTAAATACAGCGTCAGCTTTAGAATAGTCTAAAACTTCTCGATTCAGCTTAATAGCTTTTGTAAAATATAGAATCGCGTTTCTCCGTGTACTGGAAATAATTGTTCAGCTGAGAAGCACTCGCATTGCCTTCCTCTGATGCGAGTACATATTCGCTTCGGGTGGCCACAGAAACTCGTCTATTCTCGTGACACAGGATTCTCTTGTGCGCTTTTTCGTCCTGCCCTATATGTACGTGTCGCGTCGCGTCGCGTCGTCGTCGACGGGTCGACGAACGGCCACGCGGATACACGGCCCTGGCCAACCCACAAACGGCATTTTTCCTGGTAGCCGCGAACGTCGGTTTACGATCTCTACCGCGGCTGCGGGAATCTCGTCTCGCTTCTTGCGGAACGAGAGAATCGAAGAAACGAGCAGCGAAGAGGGAAAAGACCACTGAGGCTGCGTTTCTTTGCGGGTGGAATAAGTCCAATGGATATATCGATTTGTTCAGGTTGCTGTAAGCTAATCATCCGCTAGTGGGAAGCGTTGTATTTTTATTCGTTTTCACATTTGTTCCACGTCGTTTTATTGTTTCTGACGCATCGTGTGTCTCGCAGATAATTTAAGAACAGTTATTATACAGGGTGATTCACCGACTATTGCCACCTGAATAACTTCTACATTTTCTGAAATAGGACGAAATGGTTCAAACAAAAATTGTTTGATTTCGAGGGACACATTAACTGGTATACATAACTTTACTGCAGGTGGAGATTTGAAGGTCAACTTTACTTTTTCAAATAGAGTGGGGTATTTTTTTATACATTAAACAATACAACTAGACACTGTAAAGAAGTACTATATGTTGAAAACCTAGTAGTTTAGAAGATATTTCAATTTAAATGATTCTAAAATTCGTGCTGAAATTAGATATGAAGCAGCGTATTATCGCTGACTGCTGCAAAATATCAGCCAATACATTAAATAACGTAAGCCAGTCCTCACTTCATCAATTTCTAAAATGCTGTGATGCGATTCCTCGTTATGTTGAATCATTCCTGTAACTAAATGCAAATATCAGTATGAATTTTAAAGTTATTTAAATCGATATTTCTCCTAAACTACTAACTTTTCGACATACATAAGTCAGTACGTTTTTTTTTATGAAGCATGTCTAGTTGTATCGTTTGATGTATAAAAAAATACCACATAGTATTTGAAAATCAAAGTTTACCTTCAAATCTCCTAAGCACCTGTAGAAAAATTATGCACACCCTGTAATGTGTTCCTCAAAATTAAACAACTTTTGCCTTAACCATTTCTGTCTATCTAAAAAAATGTGGAAGTTATTCAAGTGGCAATAGTTAATAAATCATCATGTATATTCAATTAATTCTATTTTCACCTAAATTAGATTAAAGCCAAAGTAAGTCTGGTTTTACGTAATAGGAGTTTGGTAAAACAAAGAAAAACAATCTGAACAGATGATTCATATTGTGACTCACTCAATGTTACTATAATATTTTCGACATCAAAGAGAACATCAAATAGCGTTCTACGATGTCAGCAAATCAATTTTTAATGCTCGTAACATACATCTATACATATTGCATTGCAAATTCCGGATTAGATACTTGAAATAAACGTCGGCAAGGTTTATCTACACTTTTATTACAAAGATTAGATAAACTCGTGTGCGCGGCGTAGGTACATAGTTACTGTGCAAGTAGTTGAAACGCATTTATGACATTTTTATTGTTTATGTTACACTTTAATCTTTGATAAAGAGGTGATAAAAATTGCTCGCGGTGTATTTTCCTCGGTAAAAGTTTTCATAAATTTCTTTCGTGGCGTTAGGAAAATTGTTGTCGCATTAACATTTAGAGTCGAGAGGTGAATGAAGATAAGCAAGATCAAAGTTGGTTCAAAGGATCGGTCTTCTATTTATGATTAGAAAGAACAGATTTTAAAAAGTTTATCGCTTTTCTCATCTTCATTCGTATTTTTCTTTCCGTATCTAAGACTTAAATTTGACTTTGCACACAGAAGAGCACACAGACGTAACGGCACCGTAACGGCATCGTAACGTAATGGGAAATCTCCGTAGGTCAGGGATCCACGTTTGACACCGAATCGGCAGGTGGGGACTGCCAAATGTTTAAGGTCCACTACCTACGCCATTTACGGCACTAAAAATTACGTTCTGCGACCTACGGAGACCTACGACCATGACAGGAGTGCATAATTATTTTCTATAGCTAAAAGAAATCTCAATTATGTTTGATTTTTTAAATTGACATCACGGAAGTATTATTTCTGGATAAAGATTCGCAGTCTGTTTATTACTTACCTTTAACCCTTTCGCTACGGACACCGACTATAGTCGGCGGCCGCGCGACGTGCTGTGTGTACGGGTGCCGACTATAAT